GGCCTTGGGAGGCTCTAAACCGTTTGTGGAAGTACAGGAAAGCCGACTTGACTGAAAACGTGCCTTGGTCGGTGAACCTCCAGTCCCAGAAGTCATCTAGAGAATCAGGTCCAATGGGAATGGCGGCAACCTGTCTCAGTTCGTGGGGACCAAGGAACATCTCGAGTATGTCAAACCTCCATTCTCTTGTAATATCATTGATCCAGTTATCACTGTAGATAGGTCAGGCCACTCGAAATCAAGCAAAGCCCCCGCTCTGTCTCTTCTCCAAGGATCCTGGAACACCTTGGTAGTCCTGCCATTACCAATAACCCTAATGATCCCCTGTCCCATCCAGGTTTTTGCCTCACAAAGGCTTGACCAAATCCACGAGGCTTTCCCTCCCTTTTTTGCATTGAGAAAATCGGTTTTAGGGAAATAGATACTTTTAAGAACCTTGACCCACAAGGCATCCTTGTTGGTGAGAATTCTCCAGGCCTGTTTAGCAAAGAGGGTCAGGTTGAAGATATGGAATGGCCTAAATCCAAGACCACCTTCATCTTTTGGAGCATACAGAACATGCCCGGCTCTCCAATGGATTGTTTTCTTTGTCATTGATCCCCCCCAGAAGAAGTTCTTTAGCATGGAGTCCATCTTTTTCGTTGAAGATCGAGGGAGCAAGAAGAGGCACATAATGTATGAGGGGACCGCTTGCAGAACAGATTTGAGAAGAACTTCCTTCGCCCCTGGTGACAGAAGGAGACTTTTCCAAGCTTCTCCTTTCTTTTCCATCCGTTGAATGAGGAAGTTGAAGGTCTCCTTCTTTGACCTACCCCACTCTGTGGGAACACCAAGGTAAGTGGAGTGCCATTAGATGCGGCGAACCCAGAATCGTGGATGATTCTTGCCTGTTCATCAGTGGGAACATTGAAACTAAAGAACATTGAGGACTTCTCCTTGTTAACTTCTTGACCTGTGACGGCCCCGTAATCCTCAAGGATGTCCAAAAGTTTCCTTGCCTCTTCCGATGATGCCTCCCCGAAAATGACAGTGTCATCGGCAAACAGGCAGTGAGACAAGGTAGAGCAGGACCTATTGATTTTGATACCCTTAATATCCTTCCTGAGAACCGCTTTCTCAATAAGAAAAGAAAGGGCATTGGATAATAGAATGAACAAGAGGAAAGATTAGGGGTCCCCTTGTCTAATGCCTCGAGTAGGTTTGAAATCAGGAGTGGGCTCCCCATTAACCAGCAGTCTGAAGCTCACAGTAGAAATGCGGGACTGAATCCATCCACACCAGACATCACTGAATCCATAGGCTCGAAGAAAATTGATGAGCAGATCCCACTCAACCAAGTCGAATGCTTTCCTCATATCTAGTTTCATCATCATCTCCTTCTTGTTTCCCGTTTTATGTGTTTTGAAGTGGTTGAGAACCTCAAGAACGATAATAATGTTGTCTTGAATCTGTCTTCCCCCTGTGAAAGCTGATTGCAACTCGTTGACCAGGTCAGGCAACCAAGGTTGTAATTTGTTGGTCATGATTTTGGTGATCACCTTGTATCTGAAATTACAACAGCTGATGGGTTGAAATTGGCCAATCAGCTCGGGTGCTTCAACTTTAGGAATGATGGTAATGAAAGTATCATTCCACTTCTCAGGCATGATTCCTGTATTGAAAAATTGGGAGACTTCAAGACAGAAAATATCACCCAAAGTATTCCACTATTTCCTGAAGAACAAACCAGGATAGCCATCAGGACCAGGAGCCCTGTCTGCTCCCAGTTGAAAAACCGCCCTGCAAATTTCTTCCTTTTCAACTGGTGCACAAAGACTGATATTGGCCTCCTCTGAAACCAGACAAGGGAAGCCATCAAGGATATTCGGATCCAGCTGTCCCTCCTTGCTCGTAAACAGCCTATGATAAAACTCCTTGACATGAACACCAAGGTCGTGGACGTTGGTTATCCAGTTCCCTTCTATGTCCTTGAGCTTTAAAATCCGATTCCGATTCTTCCTTTTTATAGTACTCGCATGAAAGAAGCCCGAATTCTGGTCACCTTCCTGCAGCCATGAAATCCTTGACCTTTGTGCCCAAAAGCTCTCTTTTGAGCTCCATAAGGATTCCAATTCGAGCTGGAGATTCTTTTCTTCAATCACTAGGATCGGGGACCTATATGTCCCATGTAAAAGCTGCAGTCTTTGTCTTATTTCTTTTTCCCTCTTTTGTTTTCTCAGTCTGTCATTTTTCGCCCAATTTCTCAAGTCCCTTTGGCAGTCGTTGAGGATATCCTGAACACTTCCCCCTTTGTTCCAACGGTTATTCAAAATTAGACAACATTCTTCGCTTTCCCGCCACCTCTTGTCAAACCGGAAGGGGGTATTGTGGGAGCGAGTATAAGAGTGTAGATCGATCCTGATCGGACAATTATCCGATTCCACAAAGTCTTCATGAAAAACCACGGCTGTTTCGAACTTTGTTCTCCAGGCAGTCGAGCAGAGTGCTCGGTTAAGCCTCTCCCTGATCAGATTGTTTCCTTGCTGCTTATTACTCCAAGTAAAAGTCAATCCTGAGAAGCCAAGATCCACAAGAGCGTTTCTAGCAATGAAGTACTTGAAAGGATTGACATTTTCATTTCTTAAGGGACATCGTCCCTGTTTTTCAAAAGGGTAGATGGCGACATTAAGGTCCCCCACAACCAGCCAGCTATCATCTTGGTTTGCCCTGAGACTCGTAAGTCGATCCCATAGGGCATTTCTCTCCACCACCGTGGTAGGAGCGTGCACAAAAGTGCAGAATAACTTAACCCCATTCCTACTAATACTAGTGTCCATGTAGGACTTACACGAATCCAACACAACGACTTCTACATCATCCTTCCACCAAAGAGCTAAACCACTTCCTTCCCTCCCTGGACCATAATTCTCCGAGTGATCAAACCTCATTGTTCTTCTCCTTTCTTCCATAAAGGAATCTTCTTTCTTAGTTTCCATGAGAAATAGCATCGAGGGGCCGAATTGTCGACAGAGTCTGCCGCAGTAGCTTCTTGTAAGAGGTTGGCCGAACCCCCTACAATTCCAACTTAGAATCCTCATTCCTGGGGAGGCGGCTCGAGGCTTGCCGCCGCTGCCCTCGGAGTGATTGATTCCCCTTCTCCGGATTGACATTCTTCTGCTGTGATTTCTGCCAGGCTCTTCCTTCTGATGGTGTGCCTCCTTCTTTGGTATGTTCTCCTATTTTCTCCTGGAACAAAAGACAGAGAATCAAAAGACAGGTTAGTGGGTGTTTCCTGTTGCTCGGCTGGGCTAGAGAGGCTGACTCTCTCTTCAGGCTTTCTCTTCTTCTCGGGCCTGGTCATCACTTCATCAGTTGCCGCCTCATTGGAGACAGCCACTAGGCCTTGGGTATGGGCCTGGGTGGTCATCACTTGGTTGTGCTGGTCCACTAAGGTTGGAGTGAGGGATAAATCAGTTGGTGTGTATGATGGGCTCGCCAGGGTTAGAGACTGGCCCATTTCAAACAGGCCCGCCATCTTTTCCCGGTTTCCTTCTCTACCACTTAGGTCGAGACTCCTCTGCATCGCCCTCGTTGTTGCCTCCATTTCGATTTCCAGGAAAGCTGTTTGCATGGTAGGTGTGGGGTTGCCTCCCTCTCCTCTGTAGACCCAGTCTGACCCTCTCCCTGAGTTTGGCAGTATGGCATATCCCTGTAGGTATGGGAAAGGTCCCTGCAGTGGGAGGCCTGCAAGGGTGATTTGAGAAGATTCACCTCGGGAGCCCCGGATTTGCTGTCTTGCTGGGTTCTGACTTGTCAGGCGGCGAGAGTTTGCTTCTCTTAACGATGCAGGAGGGGTATTCGCCGGAGAATCATGACTGGCCCTCAGTGCATCGGTGTAAACCTCCAACGGGTCAGTGCAGAGCCCTTTCCTCCTATTCTCTTCCCTTTCCAGGCAATTATGGATGAGATGGCCGAGCCTCCCGAAGAAGTAGCAAAAATCCATGATTCTTTCGTATTTGAAGCTCACCCAGACCGATCTCTCTCCCACCGGATACTCAAAACTGATTGGGATGGGGTCGTCGATGCTGACCTCCACCTTTGCCCTGATGAACTTTAACCAGCCTCTGAAGTCGAAGTTGGATTGGTCGATGCTGTGGAATTGGGGGAAAATGAAAGAAGCAACTGCTTGGACAGCCTCCTCATCTTTTAGGGACTGGGGAAGATCATGCATCTGCACTGTCACGGCCTTACTCTTGGTCGTGCGGCCCTAGCTCTCAATTCCGTTAGAGATGCTAGGCAGCCTTCTCACAAGCTCTCAAACTCACTCAACTCACAAGAACAAGACACAAGAAGATGGGAGAAACTCTATAGTTGTATTGCTCACAAAAATGATGGATGATTACAAATGAGGAGGAGGTGCTCCTTTTATAGGCCCTCCTCTCTTACAAGGTATAAATACCTCTCATAATGCTCTCCCCCATTAACACACCCTATTAAGTTTCCCCCATAATGTACACCATTATACCACCTCATAATGTGGCTCTTTATGTGCACCATTAAGCTCATATTCAAGATGGGGAATCCTAGGAGCATCCTATGCTACTAGGTCTTCCTAATGCCACATGTGCTTGACTTGTTCATGATCCGCCACATCATTCGCCATGTCGCCCGCTACGCGTGACATCCTCCCCCACCTATTCTCGCGATGCCCTCATCGCGTCCTTGCTACGAAATGTCTCCATCGACCTCGAGCAGCATCTCTCGACTCTTGAGCCTCGTTGGTGACAGCACCCATAGAGTGATTGTGTTGATGTCGGCTGATTCGGGCTTCTGCTCTCCATCCCATTTCTTCAGAGCTACGAGAGTGTTGCTCTCCCAAGTTCGATGTTATTCGTCTGAATTCAAAACATTGACTCCCAAGTTCGTAGTTTGTCTATTAAATTTCCACTGAGCGCGCAAGGGCGAAGTGAGAGCTTCGAAACTTAGTCTTCAAAATGCTTACCTCCGCATTTGGGCTTCACATGCCGCCCCTGCCGCCGGACACGAATTCTCCAGCAGCTCCAAAGAGCTACACACCTCATCTACTCCATAAATTCGATTCTCCAGCGGAGCTCAAACAGCTCCATGCCCACCTTGTCAAAACCAATGCCTCTATCTCCGTCCTTCCATTACCCAAAGTTGCTTCTGTTTGCTCCCGCGGCCGCTGCTTCCCCTACGCCCAACATATCTTTGCTCGCTCCGACAACCACGACACTTCCGTCTGGAATTCGTGCCTGAGAGCTCTGGCAGAAGGCGATCACCCCATCGATGCCGTCTCGCTGTTCTACCAGATGCGTACGTCGGGTGTCTTGCCCGACGCGTTCACTTGCTCCTTCCTTCTCAAAGCTTGCGTGAGCTTGTTAGATATCGCTAACGGTAAAATCCTTCATGGGGTTGTTGAGAAGCTTGGGTTTGGGTCGAATTTGTTTCTGCAAAACATGATCTTGAATTTGTATGGACTGTGTGGGGAAATGGCTGATGCAATGTTACTGTTCGATAAAATGCCTCAAAGAGATGTCGTCACTTGGAACACCGTAATAACCCAGATGCTCAAGAGGGGAGATATCGAGGGCGCTTCAAGACTCTTCTCCAGGATGCCGGAGAGGAATATCAGGTCATGGACGTTGATGATTTCGGGCTGTGTCCAGTGCGGGAAACCAAAAGAAGCCATTGATTACTTCCTGGAGCTGGAAGAAGAATCTGGGTTGCGGCCTAACCAAGTCACGGTTGTATCTGTACTTGCAGCCTGTGCTGATCTCTGCGCTCTAGATTTGGGGAAAAGGGTTCACGAGTACTCTAACAGAAGCGGGTTCAAGAATAACGTGCTCGTCTGCAACACCTTGATCGACATGTATGCCAAATGCGGTTCCCTGGAGGAAGCCAGCAGAGTTTTCGACGAGATGGAAGGAAAACGAACCGTGTTTTCATGGTCTGCAATGATTGTGGGACTTGCAGCGCATGGACGAGCTCAGGAAGCCCTGAGCCTCTTTTCAAGCATGCTCCAGGATGGAACAGAACCAAACGGTGTTACATTCGTGGGTCTGTTGCATGCCTGCGCCCATATGGGTCTTGTCGACGAAGGTCGAGCCTTTTTCACCAGCATGACTCGGGATTACGGAATAACTCCAGGGATCGAGCATTATGGCTGCATGGTTGATCTCCTGAGTCGAGCTGGACTAGTGAAAGAGGCTTATGAATTCATCATGGAAATGCCTATTAAACCGAATGGTATCATCTGGGGTGCTCTTCTTGGTGGTTGTAGGCTTCACAAAGACATCAAGTTGGCTGAGCAAGCAATTCAGCACCTCTCTGTACTGGATCCTCTCAACGATGGGTATTACATCGTGTTATCGAACATCTATGCAGAAGCTGGTCGATGGGAAGACGTGACGAGAGTAAGGAAGTTGATGAAGGCGAGAGGGGTGAAGAAAACCAGCGGGTGGAGTAAAATAACCCTGGATGACGGAATCGTTCATGAATTCGTGGCTGGAGATGAGAGCCACCCGCAGGCTGAAGGCATATTTCGAAAGTGGGATGAACTCGTTGTTGAGATGATGCTTAGAGGGTACGTTGCCAATACTTCACTAGTGCTGCTCGACATCGAAGAGGAGCAGAAGGTGAAGTTCATTTATCGTCACAGCGAGAAATTGGCTGTGAGTTTCGGGCTGTTGAACACTCCGGCTGGAACGACGATCAGGATCATCAAGAATCTACGTGTTTGTGAGGATTGTCATTCGGCTTTGAAACTGATAGCGGCCATCTCTGGTCGTGAGATTGTTGTGCGTGATCGTAATAGGTTCCATTGTTTCAAGGACGGATGCTGTTCTTGTGGGGATTATTGGTAATGCAGTTTGTTGAGCAATTAATCACTTGTTTCAAAAGACCGTTTCGGTCACATTCACTACAGCTCTTTCTCCACAGGCCATCCACTACCACAGTACCACTCTACAATCATCAATTCTTAGTCTTAGTGCCTACTCTGCCTACTGAGAAAGATAAGACAAAGTGCGTTCAAAAGGAAAAGCATAAAGGGCGAAAAAGAAAACAAAACAATCATAACACTTCCTCCAAAACCAAAATTGGCCACAAAATTGCATAATCTAATGACCTCTCCCAAGTCCCAACTACCCACCATTGAAATTCCGCTCATCTTTCATTTCTTCCCTTTAAAGAAAGTTTCACTTATGTCCCAGCAATAAGCACACACAAGCAGTAAATCAGCCAACCCAAAGAAGAAACCATTTCAGGGAGACATCCATAGCCAGTTACAGTCGCCAGAGAGCTCCGAGCACAAAATGCTAAAGCTCCTAACTTTCCTCCATATCCTGTCCCTCTCCCTCTTTCTCCTCCAACCCAGTTCCCCATTCTGCAATGGGTTCCCAGATTCGGTAGTTGAAAGCGGTGAGCTCCACGGCGGCGGCGTTGTTGGCGGTGGCTTATATGAAGAAGAGGCGGAGATGGAGTCGGAGATCAGCAGGAGGCTGATGCTAATGCAGAGGAAGTACATAAGCTACGCGACGCTGAAGAGGGACATGGTCCCTTGCGACAACCCAGGTGCTTCCTACTACGATTGTCACCCTCGTGCCGCCAACACATACAACCGGGGTTGTGAAGTCATTGCCAGGTGTAGAGGTATCAAAGACGTCTCTGATTGATTGATAGATCGATTTCTATTAAAAGGAGATGAAATGAAGTCAGTGGGTTGGGGAAATTGAGTCTACTTTTTCCTCCCAACCCCAGATTCGATGCAATTTTGGGGTTTCTTCTCTTTTTTGGGTGTTTCTGTATATTTGGAGGACCCTTCTTTTTGTTCTGTGCTCTGCTGCTAGCTGTAAGAAGTTGTTTAGATCCAAGTTTTGATTGGCAACAGATCTGGGGTTGGTGTGCCTCCATTTCTCAGTGGATGAAGTTTGATTTGTTTATGGGGTGTCATTTCCTTTTCGACAAGTCCCCTTGCTTTGCAATGCCAAATCACAACAATGCAATTTCTGTGGGTTTTGAAGGATTCTGGGATGGTTTTGCGGAATATGGTCTGCAATTTCCTGGTTTCGTGTTCCCGTCAGCAGGCCTGTGATTCTGCATTCTTGTGTATCAATTCAATCATCGGCTGACGGTCAACACGGCATGACTTTTTGGGATGAAACTAAAGGGCCTTGGTGTAGTTTCACTAATCTGGAAGTGCGACTCTGAAAAGATTCCTCCTTTTCTTTTATGAAGCCCCTGCTACGATTGAAATCTATGATCTAAGGTATGGGTGTTACCCAAAGTGGAACTGTGTTTTCTTTAAAAAGAAATTTCCCCTTTCATCAATCTCTAGTCTGGATTCTGGACACAAAGTGCTGTTTTGCTACTTCCAGTTGGGGCATGCTAGGAAATGGAGTCTGTATTGCCTTGTCTTTAAAGGGTAGCATCAGGCAATTTCAGAGGTGGTTGGGTTGGAAAATTCTTCCTCGACGTCTACTGCTGAGTTTGGCCACAAAATGGATGGGCTGTGGAGCGGATTGGAGTCCCTCCGTTGAAGGGTGGGTTGCTTTGATTTCCTCCTCTGCCTAATCAAATCTGCAGAGATGAAAAAGTGAACCATGCCGTTCTGTGCATCTTTTTCACCATCGAACATAGACGGAAGGCCAGTTGGTTCTTCTGTTTGAAGTGTCTGCAATACACATTACACGATCTTGAACTGTCGTCTATGATAGATTGCGTCGATATGATTTTCATCACGATTTCCTCACCGTCTACCTGTTAATCCTGTAAACTTCTGACTTTACTGACTTGATTTCTCTCCTACAACTTTTTTTTTTTTTTTTGACAATGATTAACAAATTTTATTCCAACAAACGAAGGAAGCGCAAACTCGGTTACATTCTTAGAGAAGATCAGAAATGAGATCAAGAATATTAATCCAATCATCAGGGAGCGAAGCTCGTGCTTTTGATCTTGCCACCCAATCGGCTCTGACATTGAGTGCCCTAGGAACATCCTTGACATGAATAAGAGGGTTTGTCCTCAAGATTGAAACAATCGATCCTATCCATGATGTACATCTCCATGGCCATCTTGATTGATTGAGCTTCAGGGCTTTCACTAGAACCTGACAGTTGGACTGTACCGTACATTCGGTCCCATATTCTTGAGCTAATTTCACTCCTTCCAGAAGTGCCTTCGTTTCTGCTTCAATCGGTGTGGAACAAAGAAGATTCTCCGCTCTCCCATCACACACTTGTCCATGGTGGTTAACAACCACAACACCATATGCTGCCTGCTGGGAGTCGCTAATGAACGACCCATCACAGTGTATCATCACAGGATGATTACTTCAACTTCACTAGTTGAATTTTGCTTCCCTTCTCGAATAAGTGATTGAAATGGTATGACTTTTTCTTTTGCAATGCAACCATTTTAAATAGACCTCACAGAACGACCGTATTATACCCTTAGATACACTTGAATCACAACAATCTATGATATATGTGATGAATTGATGATTACTCAAACTGACCTAGACGTCAATTTCTTCATGCTTAGGTTCTAAATGTCTCTAATAAACCAATCATCATCCCATTTATGGACCCTATCAAGATGAGTTCTAACTCACTACTGAGTTACTTAAACCTCCAGGGCTAGTTCTTTTAACAGTTCCATCTGATAATGATTTTCTAAGCAGATTAGTACTTGTCCTACCGGTATATCTTTGCACCAGCTGTGTTGGGACTTGGGAACCAAGAATACGACAGTATCGCCACACATGAAACGACAGCAACAACCATCCAATGACATGATAGTGAAGCTCAACAAATCTTCATTTTGTCTATCTTTTTCTGGTAAAAAATGATGATAAGCCGGCGCAGCACGCAGCAGCGGCACAAAATCCGAATTTGCAGAATCAAAAACCCAAAATCTATCTCACACAGCCCCATTCCCGATATCCGACCATTATTCTTCCAACTCGTTGTGGTCAAAAAGACCCAACCCATTCCTCTCCTCCTCCAACAATCCATTACCCTTTCCAGCCACAAAACACAACTCTAAAAGAGAAAAACCTAAACACAACCATTCATCCGAGTTCTTTTCCTGAATGCAAAACAAACCAAACAAACCGCACTGGTCTTCTCCAAACCCTCTCCTTTTGGTGGTATTGCTCAGTACCTGTAGTGAGCAGGCTTGTAAGGACCCTCGACCGGGATGCTGATGTAGTCAGACTGGTCCTTGGTCAGCTTGGTGAGCCTAGCTCCGAGCTTACCGAGATGAAGAGCAGCAACCTTCTCATCAAGATGCTTGGGCAGAACGTAAACCTTCTTCTCGTACTTGCCGCTGGACCTCTCGTTCCAGAGCTCCAACTGTGCAATCACTTGGTTGGTGAACGAGCAGGACATCACGAAGCTGGGGTGGCCAGTTGCGCATCCGAGATTCATCAAACGACCTTCAGCCAACACAATGATGCCGCTCTTGGTGTCGGGGAAGACCCACCTGTCGGTCTGGGGCTTGATTGTGATTCTCTTCACACCGGGGAAGGTCTCGAGGCCTTGCATGTCGATCTCGTTGTCAAAGTGACCAATGTTGCAGACAATGGCGTTGTTCTTCATCTTCCTCATGTGGTCGACCATGATGATGTCCTTGTTGCCGGTGGTTGTGCAGAAGATGTCAGCCTCAGAGACCACATCCTCGAGGGTCAACACCTGGAGACCTTCCATGAGAGCCTGGAGGGCGCAGATGGGATCGATCTCAGTGACGATCACACGAGCACCAGCCTGCTTCATGGCGGCAGCACAGCCCTTTCCGACATCACCATAACCACAGACAACTGCGACCTTGCCGGCGATCATGACATCGGTGGCCCTCATGAGACCATCGGGGAGGGAGTGACGGCAACCGTACAAGTTGTCGAACTGTAAGACCACAGATTGAAACCAAGCATTAACCACAAGCACAAACATCAGAAATCAATCGGTAACAGATCCAAATCATCATGAAAGTAGCTAAACATGCATATAACGAAGAAGGGTAATGGATATAACATTCAAACAATACCCTAAATGTCATCCTAGCAAAGGCCAACCAAATAAAGCTCGATTCTTTGTTACAATTCAAGTGCCAATTATTGACTTTATAAGAATATCAAATATATCAGATCTGAAAGACTGCAACCTCAATTAACTCAGGCAATCACAGAATCATTCCAGATCTACCAATCATGAACTGAACGAACGAGTAAGAACGAGAATGGATAGAGATTTACCTTGCTCTTGGTGACAGAGTCATTGACATTGATAGCAGGGAACAGAAGAGTTCCATTGGCCTGCATCTGGTAAAGCCTCTTGACTCCAGTGGTGGTCTCCTCAGAAACACCCACTAGTCTCTCCTTCATCTTGTGGTACTTCTTGGGGTCAACCTTCAACCCGTCCCTGATAATGGTGAGGACGATCTGGAACTCGGCATTATCCGTGGAAGCCGGATCGGGGACCTTGCCAGACTTGGCGAACTCCTCCTCGGCCTTGACACCCTCGTGGATCAAGAGCGTGGCGTCACCGCCGTCATCGACGATCAGATCGGGTCCGCCACCGGGGCCCCAGTCGAGGGCCCTCTCGGTGCACCACCAGTACTCCTGGAGGGTCTCCCCCTTCCAGGCGAAGACGGCGGCGGAGTCGCGGGCGATGGCGGCGGCGGCGTGGTCCTGGGTGCTGAAGATGTTGCAGGAGCACCAGCGGACCTCGGCGCCGAGGGCGGTGAGGGTCTCGATGAGGACGGCGGTCTGGATGGTCATGTGGAGGGAGCCGGTGATCCTGGCGCCCTTGAAGGGCTGCGAGGGCCCGAATTCGGTCCTGCAGGAGATGAGGCCGGGCATCTCGACCTCGGCGAGCTCGAGCTCGAGGCGGCCGAAGTCGGCCTGGGACATGTCCTTGACCTTGTACTCCCGGCCGGCGGAGGTTTTGTCGACGATGAGCGACATTGCGACGGGGAGGGAATTGGGGATCTGAGAAATTTAGGAGAGGGATGAGAAGTGAGGCGAGAGACAGGGTTGAGTGAAGGGAGTGGATGGGGTTTATAAAGAGGAAGGGTGAGGAGAGATGGACGGCTGAGATTGGATCTGGGTGAGGGTGGATTGAAACGGTGTCGTATGAAAAGGAGCTGGGATCTGGTGGGGGTTGGTGGATCTAGGTTGGGGTGGAAAAAGTATACGGATGCGGCGAGAACGCCGTGCTGGACTCCCACTTGTGGTGACTGAAATGGACGGTGATCCGGTGGGGTATTCGTTCGGGTCGACACGTGTCGTCTGATTGATGGTCGTGTGGGAGGATGTGTGGTGTGGGGTCTGAGAAGTGAGAAGAATTAGGTCTGGGCTTTCTGAGTTTTTAACTTTTTATGTTATTTACATTTTTTTTCAGTTGTAAATTTATTTATCTCTATTCTCTAACAAACAAATTTAGAAAGTTGAAGAAGATCCAGAAATCTGGGGAGGATCATTAGATTTTCCGTTTTAACATCCATAACATGAAATTTTTGAATGTGTAGTTGAAGGAGAAGAAGAAGTTTCAGTGGCTTTTCCGCACAAATTTATGTGTGTCTTGAAGTTGATGTTCAAGTTTTATTTTGTATAAATGGAACCATTTACGGGTCGTTTGCTTGAGGGTTTTGATGATGGATTTGGTCATGGAAATCTATCCATCATGGACTTTAACGGAAATCCATCGTTTGCCTTAGGGAATTAGGGAGATGGAATTTGAGGGTCCCGCCACTTTTGGGGTTCCAAATCCGTGGACCCCACGGACTTGGAAGTTCCACCTCTTGAGGTGGGATTTGGGTGATGGATTAAAATTCATGATAGTAAATTACCTTTCTACCCTTACTTATTACTTTAATTACAAAGTTGTCCTACTTTAATTCAATGGTCATGCAATTATAAACTTTTATAATGTCGTATTTTATATATATGAGAATTTTTCATTTCGTTTTGTAATATCATAGTTTATTTAAATATGAATGTATATGTGATTTGTTAGATTCAACTATAAACATCTTATGCTCGTCTTGTGCATTATTGTTTGATTGATTGTCGGATTCCAAAATCGGGGAGTTAGCAAGAAGTTGATGAGTTGTAGCAATAAAGCGAGCAATTGGTTGCAATTGATACATAATATTGCGTACATTATTAGATGAGTTGTTAATTAGTGCCAAACTATGATACATTTCTATATTTGTAGTTGAATTATTAGTCCACATAGTGGTAAAGAGTTTAAAATTTCATTGTATGCGTTGGATTTTTTTAATGAAATTTATGGATTATAATATAGAAATATAATTAGATAAGATAAGGGTAACAAGGTAATTTGAATTTCATATCCACAAATCTATTCAAACAAAATCTATAATCAAATCCACAAGCAAACAATAGACTTGGGGGTCGTTTGGATGAGGAATTCTAATGGATCAATCTGACACAATTGTCTCGTTTTGAGTCAATTGTGCTAGATTGATCCGTTTGGCAGCAGAAAATTTGGATGAAGCAATTTGGCTGGGGAATTCTGAATTGACTCATTTTGTGCCAATTACAATTGTCTGGGGTGGGGGCAGGTAATCTGAATTGACTCGTTTTAAATGACTCATTTTGTAAAATGAAACAATTGGTCAAATTGTCTCGTTTTACAATTGATCCATCCAAACGACCCCTTGGTCAAATCCATAATGCCACCAAATTCATCATATATCCATGGTTTTCCAAAACCCAAGTTTTACCAAAACCCTCATTTTTCAAATCCATGAAGCAAACGACCCGTTACAATCACGCTATATTTTTAATCAAATGGAATTCAAGGATCATAACACTATCATAGTTTATCGAGCAATTTTGTACTTCAATTGGATCATTATTAATAATGAAATGAAAGTCCAAAGAGAGTTTGTACCTTTCTTTAAAAAATCTAAAAAATTCCATAAAGTTTTCTCTTTACACACGAGATATACAAATTTCATAAATTGCTTGAATGAGACAATATTTTTCAAGGTTCGACTCCTAAAGTTTTCTCGTAAGTTTTAATGGCAATTTGGTTTTCATTATCAATATTCGATTTTTCATCCTCGCTGATCTCCGCCCTTATTAATGGAGAAATCTTAAACATTAAATAACATCCAAATTTTATTCTAAACTAAATGGTCAATAAGGAATAGTTGTATTGTGACGTAACTTGGTATTTGTAAATCAATCACCGACTGTTGGCTTCATTGCAGATATACAAAGGCCTGTGTATAATAATATAAAAAAACTAATTTGATCTATCGGTTTTCATTGGAATTCCAAGTTCTTTTTAGTAGTTTGGGTGGAAAGAAATTAAAACCTTCCCTAGTTTTCTTATCGGCAAGTATGCATGGTTGCATTGCTATTAAGTCTCGAAATGAGAATTAGTGTCTCCACTTTCCTTTCATTGATTTCACATTTCAGATTCCAAATACGAGTAAGTATGAAGTGCTAACCCACTGAAAACTATATATTTTATGCACATCTTGTAAGAAAATATAAGAAAATACATACAAAAACAGTACAACAAATGGGATTTGGTGCAAATAGCAATGAGTTATACTTTCATAACACATATATAACATATTTAAGAATTTTAATAGTGTATTTATTTAGTTGTTCTGTTTCATTTTTGGATTTTGTGTGGTGCTGCCACGGGAGAAAAGGTCCATTTTTTAGGGTAAATACAATTTAATAGCCAAACCTTTCCTTTTAAACAATATAATAGCCAAACCTTTTAAAAAACAATATAATAACAAAACCGTTAACTTTTCATCGTCAGTGGACGCTGAGGTGACGGATTTCTGTACACGTCAGCCGGTAACTTTTTGTTTTTGATTTATCAAATTATTATTCTAAAACTAAAAAAAGTAGAAAAAAAATGAAAACAAAAAATGTTCATTCAGCCATTGGCTTATGCACTTCGGCTCCCTCCTCTTATACTCATCTTTGCCTCATCCGCCATTTTTTCCGGCGATGTGGTCCGTCTCTCCAAAATCGAGCCAACAGCTAGCTCCGCCTCCTCCCTTCCTACTGCCACACATTCCATTCTGCCTGCATCGGCACCTGCTCCTCTATAACCAAATCTACCCTCTCTCCCGCTCCCATCTTCATGTCTGCGATTCCAACATCCTCAAGCTCTCTTCCTCAGTTCCCCGACCAGAATCTCCGTCGACTCCCGATCTGCATTGGACTCCTCTTCTCCCCACTCCCCCGTCCAATCATTTCTCTTCTCTCCTCTGCTCTTTGGCCTCCTCCTTGACCTCGCGGGAGTCGGCCTCACCAAATTCAACTTCCGTCGTTGACGAATTTGGAAAGAAACGAGCGTTTTTGTCAGGCCAGGTTCAGATCTGTAAAGTAACAAGCAATGAGTGGGTGGGAGCTCAGCGGATCTACACTTGCTGGTGTCGCCCTCTACTCTCTCGTTCATAATCCCGCCGCCGCCGAACCTGTAAAGAAAATAATGTCTGGACGGCGCTTTCCCTTCTCCTGGCTTCTGGTCTCGACACCTGCTAGGAAAAGAGGAGGAATACGATACAGGAGGGTCACAAGGGTAATGACACGGCGGCGGCGGTCACAAGGTTTTTGTGAAGTTATGGGCAAAATCATAGAGGTTCATTTTGATTCCAATTGTTGGCGATGCTGTGCTTGCTTGGTGGTGGCCGCGTTCAGTTCGCCGGAGTGTCTTGCTTGGCTAACGAACGATGAAGAGTCCCCTTACCGCCGGAGAGGGATTTGTATATAGAAAGAGGAAGTTGAATGGATGGATTAGAATAGAGAGAGAGAGTTGAATGTATAAGCTTCATCTTTATTTTTTATTTTGTTTTTCTAATTTTAAAAATAAAAAATTAAATTGTAAAAAGAATAGTAATCCATGTCACATGGTCAAATAATTTACATTCTGCCACATCAGCAAAAAATTATCCAGCTCACTTAAAATTTTGCCACGTCATAGTCAACTAACTGTCAACTGGACGGAAAGATGACGGTTTGGCTATTAAATTGTTTTCGAAAAGGTTTGGTTATTATTTTGTTTATAACGAAAAGGTTTGGCTATTAAATTGTATTTACCCTTTTTTTTACTTCCAATCTAAGTTTACAGTAGAGGTCCTAACTAGAAGTATGCAAGTGATGCACAAAGACTGGTATGGAACTTCATGGTCAGCATAATTTTTTTTTTTTTTTTACAAAGGGATTACTTGCATTGCACTTTGAAAAATCGATTACAAGAGAACCAACAAAGCAAACTAAAATCAGAACAAAGGACAGACAAACTCAAGCACATGGATCATCAATCTGTGCTTCAGAGATTCAACAAGAAAGAGCACAAAACACAGAAAGAGTATCCCAACAATGGATCTGAAACACTTGAACCAAAAGCAGTAAACATCGAAAGCTCTCTTGCAATCAAATCAAACAAAGTAGCACCAAGCGCAATCAGCTCTTCCGATCCGACCGAGTCCATGACAATTGAACACAATGTCATATGCCGCCTCCTGGGAGTCGCTCGAAGACGCTCAACACAGTGAATCTCGAGTGAGGGATTACATGGCGGTGAACAAGATTGAGGATCGAAATGCTCCGAGATGAAGAGGCAGGGGGAAACGAGGCACCAAGACTTGGTCAAGGGAAGAAGAAGAACCCAAATCCCCCAGATCAAAGATCCGAAACCACGACCAGCAGGGCTAGACACCGCAATCCATCCTCCATAGCCCACCAAGATGCAGAACAAACCACCTGGGAAGAAACGAAGGGGAAAACCAGTGAATCGATTCACCACACAAGCTGATAAATCCACCATCAAGAGGGAAAACCCAAGATGCATAACTCAGCCCCCAAGGAGAGCAAATCCCAGCAAAAAACCCAAGAACAGGGCAGCGAATTGCCAAAATGGCTGGAAAAACTGAAAAGCTGGAATCCTGGAACAGGAGAGTGAAAAACATGAAGACAAAGACAAGGAAACTGAAAATGGAAGCAAGCAGAAGGGAAAGGGGTGGGCTACCGC